ACAACAGGTGGTTAACAAAGTGAAACGCTTGCCAGCAGGAGTGAGGATCTATCAAAATGAGGCGTGGATTCAACTGCTTGGAACGTGGCTTTACTGTACAAACAAATGTTTGGAAGTTTGGATTGAACCTGGAAAAGCATGGAACAGATCCTTCGGCAACGACAATGGGATGTTGAACCAACAAAGATGACGACGACGACGATGATGATGAGGATGAGGATGAGGATGATGATGATGATGATGAGGATGAGGATGAGGATGAGGATGAGGATGAGGAGGATGAACATGAGGAGGATGAACATGAGGAGGATGAGACAATGATGATGATTATGACGGTTATACATGACGATGATGATGATTATGATTATGATTAATTATGATTATAATTATGATTATGATGTCGCCAGAATAACAAGCTGTAACAATGGGATACCAATCGAGTTTTTGTTTGGTGGTTTCAATATGTTGGCAACAAATACCAGGGTGGTTTCTATCCCACATAATTAAATACATATATATATATATGTATACATACGTGCACATCTACATATACATAATAGGAGCCGACGAAAAGATGGACAGTGACATTATATTATTCACATAGTGATAAAGGTGTTTTACTGTGTTTCTATCTTTTTGGGGTTTGCTACATATATATATATTATGTATATATATATATCACCCATGAATCATCATGAATCCAACTGGGATATGATATGGTTAGCCACTTACTGATGGCCTTGACCTGAAGAGGTCCTTGTCGCAAAAGCAGGCGCAAGAGGAGCGGTGGAGACCGGCGGTCTGCTTGTGGAGTTCCAGACCAGAGATGATTTCCCATGTTGACTGATGTAAGTCACGATTTTATGAGTAAATCATATTGTGTAATTGTTGTGTAATTGTGATAAATCGCTGTAAAATAATGACAAATCACTGGAAAATGATACTGGAAAATGATGATATACCATATAAATATATATATATATATATCCATATTGTCTTATACCATAAGACTGGTGTAAAACCTTTGGTTTTAGTTCCCGGTGGCATGTGAAAATCTCACGGTAACCCCCTCGGTGTCATCTTCCCATGGCTGGGAAATCTCAGAGATTTCGCATGTCAAAACCTGCAATATTGATATGACAACATATATCTCTGGGTAAATTATAACGACCTCACTGCGACCTCACTGGTTTAATATGGTTTAATATGGTTTAATATGGTTTAATATCTGGTTGGTGGTTTCAAACATTTTTTATTTTCCATAATATATGGGATAATCATGGCTGGTGGTTGGTGCTTTGGAACATGGCTGGATTATTTTTCCATATATTGGGAATAACGATCCGAACTGACTTTCATATTTTTCAGAGGGGTTGAAACCACCAACCAGGATATGAATATTATGATAGTTAGATATGGCATGAAATTAGACTATTTTAAAACTAGAGGCTTTCTGCATAATTTATACCCACTAACCAACTATTTAAATTTCTATTCATAAAATACGTATGATTTCAAGTGATGTGTTTCTTATTGTTTTAATGTTTTTTTTGTTTGTTTTCATATGGGCAAATTAAATGCGACCGAAGCCTGGCGAATGGTAGAGGAAACAAAGCTATGGATGTTGGGTGAATCAGTTTGGTGATTAGCATTTGGTAATCAAACGTGGCTAGCTAGAAAATTCATGACAATTCCCTATAAATGTAGGTTTTACTGGGAAAATGATTTACAATGCAGGTTTTTCCTTAGCTGTAGCTATGTTCGGTCTTTGAGCAGTTTTCGAAGCCATGGGCCATGGGAGGTTCGATGATTTTCCCATCGCAAACTGACACAGTGTTAGATTCCCAGAGGGTAAATCTTGTTACCATAGTCCTCATGATCAATGGATTGGTTCAAGGGAAAATCGAAACTGGAAACCATCGATTTTCCCATTCAATACCTGGTCTTCCTGACAATTTTCCCCGAAACCAATCCATTGACATGATGTGCAACAAACAAATTTCTGATTGTTTGGAATGATTGCAATCGGCTCAGAGGAATTCACCAGCCATAGTCATGCTTGAGATTGCTTGTCAGGCGACAACTGGTCCAAACTTGGCAGGCAACCATAGTACAGTGTACAAATGTGCATTTTTACCAGCATTTGTCCTTACTGTGGATGGAAGAAATCCTGCACCACCTTGGATGGTTGAAACCCTATAAATACTGGGATAAACCATCTACCAACTGGTGCAGGATTTCTTCCATCCACAGTACCACTGAAACATTGAAGTGTTAAGATTTTTTAAATAAATATACCGGTAGCATGGTAGACAATGCCATTGAAAATTGATAGAACTAGTTCGACAACCCACGCGTAGATCACGTTTTACCTGGCCGGCGCCTTCTGGGAACGACAGTCCGAAACGACAGTGTCATCAGTTTTCCATAGTTTTCCCCATTCAGATGAGGACATCTAGCTAACTGACATGGGAAAATCGATTTTCCACCATGAAGTTGGGGAAATTGAGGATACCCTCTGGTAATTTAACGTAGCTATTGAAAATGGCCATAGAAATAGTGAGTTTTCCTATTAAAAATTGTTATTTTCCATAGTTACGTTAAATTACCAGAGGGTATACCTAACTGACCCAAAAAAGACCCGACAGACCCAGGAGGATGAACAATTTGCAGGTTGCTTCGAAGATGCAGAGGCCCCTTTTTTGTTGGTGAAATCTTGCGAACCTCCATAAAACAACTTGGGTAGACAAGTCGATAAAACTATATATATATATACAGAGACATACATATACATACATATACATACATATACATACATATACATACATATATACATGTATTATTATATATATACATATAATATGATATCCCAGTTTCTGGGTGGCGAGATGCCTATTTTCGGTTTATTTTAATATACCCCCTGGCAATCGTAACGTGGCTGGTTAAAATCTCCATTTAGTTCGATGATTTCCCAGCGAATGTCCAGGAACTGAGGAGAAGATATCCTCAAAACGCTGGGAAACAGTGATGTGAAGTACCCTCTGGTAATTTAACATAGCTATTGAAAATCACCATTTTTAATGGGAAAATCCACTATTAATGGTGATTTTCAATAGCTATGTTAAATTACCAGAGGGTAATGGTTTTTACATTCCTTGAACGATGGTTTATGATGATTTATTATGATATAATCATGTGAACGTTGGTGAATGAAGCAACTTTGGCGAAGTTGGTTCTTGGAAAGTCCCTCTGAGCTGTCTCCAGCAGTAGCTTTGGTCCCTTAGCTTGTGTCAAACGTTGAGACTAGTTGACAAAGGCTGCAAAATCAGGATGTGAAGCCGAGATCAAGAAACTGGGTACTGAAGATTCTCCAGGTACCTCCAGTTTCAGTATGCTGAAACATCCATTTGTAGAGGTCAAACATGAGCCTTAAGCTAGCTTGGTTCACTCAAGTTAGACCGAATTGTGAACTGCTTTGATGTGGTCAGTGTTTACGCATGACTCAAACATGTTTTCCCACAGAATTGGATGACGTAGTACACCCAGAAGCCATCACCACCCTAATCAAATCTTGATGCACCAGAAATGGGCAGGATGTACTAGAAATCGGTGATACACCCTCCCCAAGTATTTCCAGTTTTTAGCTAAGATTGCACTTCATTACCAATAAGCCAAACAGAAGAAACCTGTTGATCACGCCTCAAAGCTGGTTGATGTTCATGTAGTCCAGAAGTTTTTTCGATGGGTTTAAAGGACCAACATCAGGAAAAAGGCATTCCCCAACTTAAACTAGCAACTAGTGTTTCTGCTAAACTATATAAACATCTTCTAAACTAAAACTTTAAAACACTAGTAGATATCGATATCAACAAGTTATATCATATAATATAAAACTATTTTGCCATACTGTGCCATATTTAATATCCAATTATTTTGCAAATAAATATTGCCATTGGCCCAGAATTATCAACCAATGACTACAACATTCACTCCAAATGTTTAATTATAGTGACAGTTATCGATATATCCAATGTTACACATCATAGATATAATATACCATCAATGATACATGTCTTGGGATAGTACATTAGATATTTATTTTAGGTTGTATCTATAATCGTTTATATGAGATATACCATCTGTTGTAATTCAACTGCCATAAATGTTATACATTAGATATACGAGCTCTGGTAATGACTAACGTAGCTATTGAACATGGCCCATTGAGTTCATTGAGTTCATTGATTTACCTATTAATAAATTAACACGTGTGTTTTTCCATAGCTATTTTTGTATGTTTACCAGAGTGTATTTCCATTAAATCACCATTAAATTCCATTAAATCACCATTAAATCACCATTAAATTCCATTAAATCACCATTTTTCTTATATTAAATCACCATTCAATCACCATTTTTTCTATAATTTAACAGAGGGTATATCCAATCTTGCCACTGGGATAGCGCTGCCTTTCAGGTCATCGTGGCGGCGAGCGCGGCGAGCGCGGCTCCGAAGGCCTTCGGCCAGGCGCGGTGATGGTGGTTTCAATGGGCATGTCATCGGGACATATGTGCAAAAACCATTCAAAAACACATGAAAAACCATGAACAAAAACATGAAAAACCCTAGGGTAAACTTCCATAGATGTGGAAAACACATGAAAAAACATTTTGCTTGAGACACCATAAGTTTTCCATATCTTTTTGCGTGTTTTCCCTAGGGTAATGGGATAATCATGATCAGTTGAGAACTATGGCTGCCCCAAGCCCAAAAGGATACATACACATATATAATCATATATATATATGTATTACATTACGTTTAAACACCCCTACTTCAGTAGGCTTGCTTTTTTTTCTTTGTGGGTTAATACAGCCACCTGAGATGGCTCATGGACGTTGACCCCAACCCCAAACGCCGAGCTCACCGAGCTCGTCAGGCTGGCGTGGCGGACACAGGTGGGAACGCGGTGTTTTTGGCCGTTCAGCTGGAGAGAAACATGATGGATTTCACCAACACAGGCGATATGAAGGTTTTTAGACTGGGGAGTTTAGTGCGGAGATTTACCAACTTGTTCAACTTGACATGAAGAAAACCCTCTGGTAATGACTAACATAGCTCTTTTTTACATGGCCCAGTCGAAATAGTTGATTTTCCCATTGACAATGGTGATGTTCCATAGCTATGTTGGTTTACCGGAGATTTAGGCATTTTTTCAAGTGGGGGATGCAACTGAGGGCCACCATGCACTGGAATGGGACCCTGAAAACACAGAGAAACCCATTCCCTCCGGTACTCGATACCTGAGAATGAAAGTTCCTCCATGTCCTATCCAATAGTTATATGGCAGTGTGTCAAAACCAATAGTACCCCTGGGGAACATCAAAATAGCTGGGATGTATGGATGTTCATCCCATTAAAAATGGTATTAATAGGTATTGATCCATAGCCATATAGCACTTACTTGATTTTGCTTCAAAAAAGATGACACAATGGGTTCAGTGATTTCCCTTTCCATTGTCTCATTACCTGTGAGTAAACCCCGAACATCGAAACATCCATCATCACAAAATCAAAATACAATTCACCTGTTGTGGAACGGTTCCAGTGTTTGTTTGATAGGCATTCCGGTTGAACAAATTGTGAATTATGTCTGTCTATATGTGGAGAAGAGCCTTGGTTGATCAAGAGATGGACCTTCTGAGCCCTGATTCTTCAACCGAAATGATGGTCAGGGGAATCGGAATCATGTCCTTAAATATGTACATAAATATGGGGGTTTCCTAGAATAGGGATACCCCTAAAGCATCTATTTTAATAGGATTTCCATTATAAACAATCCATTTTGTGGTACCCCTATTTTGGGAAACCTCCATATGTGTATATGTATATATACCATAATAGTATTTATATATATATAATATAATATAATATTATATATATATATACATATTACATATCATAATCCCAAAGAGTCTTGGTATATTACACATACATATTAATTATATTAATGTGGGTAAAACAATGCTTTTTTAACCATCCTCCAGTCATCCTCCATTTTTCATAGCTTTTTCAACGATCAACCTATCCCATATCGCCGCTAGGTGATGGTTCCGGCTCCGAGCTGGGCTCCGACTTGGATGACGCGGCTCGGATTCAGAAAAACATGGCCCAAAAATATATGGACAAACCGATAGAAATGGAGGTTTAAAAAAGTGAACACCTGTCAATTAAGTTAAGAAAGGACGGCCTTTTTGGGGGTGATAACCTAGGAAAAAAAAATGGTTTTCATAGGAAAATTCTGTAGAAATGAAGGTGTAGATGGAAACATCATTGGACCAAATGTGGTATTTGCCAGGAATGTTTAATTACCAGAAGGCATCCGTAAGTGCGGCGATCACCCCTGTTGCTGGTGACCGTGAAGCAATAGTGTTTTTGTTTATGAAAAACAAGCGTCCAAAAACTTGCAAATGATGGGAATTTCACCAAGAACAATGGTGATTTTTGGATGGTGGTAGAATTGGATATGGAGCACCTAGTGACCTCAGTGGCCGAGGTTACTTACAGTTGTGTTGGTTCAATTTGTCCAGGATGCTGCGCGTTTTCTATCGACTCACAACCGGGCCATTTCAGAGTAAATGTTGGTAAATAGACTATACATGGGGACATGGAACATATGGGTAAATAAGATTATCCCAACATTTTAGTGATGCAAAAAATAGGTTGTTGTTAACTTCAAATAAGACATGTCTGCACGCATGTGCATTGAAATTGTCGTTGAAACATGAAACATGAAGCACAGGTCATCAAGGTAATCGAGTAAGTCCACAAGGCATATTGATCTTTAGACAGTTGCCGGAGAAACACCCAAATGGATTCAAATGGTGGCAACTATATTTACCTCAGGAATCCAATGTGTGTTGTGACATTATGTTTTGGGTATATCTGGGGTTCCAATCATTACCATAACATGCATGGTATTGGCCTTGCGTACAGTATATGTTGAAATACTATCCCCCCCCAAAAAAAGTACTCAAAATTTGGATGTCATGTGAGATATCGTAAATATCCTGCATTGTATATATATATATGTATATAAATTATGTATATATATATATATACATTATATTATATATATATATATATTTTTAAGATATCCTTTCCCGGACTTCATGTCACCAAACGATGCTGAGATATTCGCCTAACATCTTCGGGGATCAATGGATTCCATGTTGGATGATCGGGCAGCGGTTGAATACCATGTGTTGATGGTTATTTAAATCCCTTTTTTAACATGACATTCTGATTGGTGGTTTCAAACATGAATTGTATTGTCCATTTCATCAACTGCGATGTATTGGGATGTCATCCTTCCCATTGACGAACTCCATCATTTTTCAAGATGATTAAAAGTTAAAAACCACCAACCAGCATTAGATGTTCATGTTCTTGATGGTTCAATTGTTAAAGCGTATATTGGTAATCCCTTCCCCTAAGATTTTCCAACGCGCAATCTGGGTCTCCGGCAAAGGATCGATTCATGTTGCGCTTCCGCTTTGGAATCTATAATTATACCATCTGGTTATTTAACATAGCCATGGAACATCACCATTTTTAATAGGTAAACCATCTATTTCTATGGGCCATGTTCCATGGCTATGTTAAATAACCAGAGGGTATATTGGAGGGAATGGGATTGTTTAGATTTCAATCTCCCATCTTTTCTAGCAAAATCCCTGTTTTTGTGCAGGTTCAATCCTAGTTTGGCCGTTTTAATCCCAGTCAACCCCCTGGTTTTTTTTTCACCGGCATAGATGTGGATAATAAAGCATGAAAGTACCCTCTGGTAATTTAACATAGCTATTGAAAATGACCATAGAAATAGTGGATTTACCCATTGAAAATGGTGGATCTTTCCATATGTTTTGGTATGTTTACCGGAGGGGATATCATTTTCCGAATAGGTTTCACCATGGGTTTCCCAGATCTCCATGGGGGAACTCCCAGTTTTCATCAATCACGGCATCCACCATAAAGGTGCGATGGTTTGCCAAGCTAGAAGCCTCCATTTAGTGAGATGTCCGCAATCTTTGATTACTGGATGTTAAGTGATCAACATGCCCATGGAAAATAGATCCAAAAAAAATAAGACAATTATGGTAATTAGATCTAATATGGGATATCTTGCCCACCTAATTCATATAATTAATCTCTTTGTGTCTGAAAATGGGATAAGTCAATTTGCGTCAAAGAGATGATGTCTCATAAGTCCTATATTCTTATCATCGTATAATATGGGATGATACCCTCTGGTAAACTAACATAGCTATGGAACATCACCATTTTGAATGGGTAAATCAACTATTTCCAACGGCCATGTTCAAGTTCGCAAACTGTAAACGTCATTACCAGAGGGTAAGCCCCCATCATTTCATCATGTCTGGGTAAATTCTAACGACCTCACTGCGACCTCACTGCGACCTCACTGGAATCATGGTTAATAAGGGGAATCATCCCAAATGGCCTTAATTCAGGTTTGTGAATTATTACAATTTGCCCAGATCATTTGATAAACCCATTGATAAACCCAACATTTTCTCAACATGTTCCCATCATTTTGAATAAGTCAATCCCATTCTGTGTTTGAATCCCAGGACGCGGAGCAAGAGCCCAAAGCTCTGGTTTTCACCAAGGCCGGCCGTTTTGAAACTCGGTGGAAACAACGACTTGGCATAGCCTTGGTGATCTGCCAACCATGTTTTTTGTTTGGTATATATTTATAACATTTGATAACTGGGGATATTCCACAACTGAGCAAACATGGTGGTTTTTGACTGAAGCTTCATGGAATTTCATGATGTTTTGGTGTTGATTTATGCAACATACCAAGCAAAACATGATTTACCCTCTGGTTATTCAACATAGCAATGGAAAATGGCCCATAAAAATAGATGGTTTACCTATTAAAAACGGTGATCTTTCTAGTTAGATATCTTAAATAACCAGAGGGTATAATTAGTCGTTAACTAACAGTCCGACCCTGTGCAAACATGGGGGGTTGGAGACTACCGTCCAACACTTCGATGCTGTCGAAAATGCCTACCCGGCCTGGTAATGACGTTTGCCGTTTGCGAACTTGAACATGGCCCAGTCGAAATAGTTGATGACTACCCAGCTATAAAATGGTAATGTTCCATATAGTTATGTTAATGTTAGTTTACCAGAGGGTAGGTCAAGTCTTTCGGAGTTGTTTTGGTCGCTTACTTTTCTGTTGTTTGGTTTACCTTGCAAAGCTTTCTGACATGTTACACAGCTAAGCGATGCTAAGGGTCAAGGTTGAGTTCGTCCTAGGTCCTATCCAATGTTTTCAGGGATGTTTTTACGTATCCCAAAGATTCCCAAAGACATCAACAGCCACATCCCGTTCGCAGCGGACGTAGACTTTTTTTCCCACACGTTCCAGTGTGTCACTGGTCTGAAAATGGGGTACCCCTAAATTCATCCACTGATTAAGCATCAAATGACATTAGGGTGTGTATTTTCCCTATTTTATAGTGATTAAATATTAATCCACTATCAGATTTCCTATCAAATGTTCGTTTTTTTTGGGGGGTGTGAAATTTTCCCTATTTTCAGACACTGCATAGATCATAAAATGGTCGGTTTTATGTCCCATGGTATGTTTTTTTTTTCACTTGCCATCCGGTGGCTAGCTGGGAGATCCCTGAAATGAATACCCTCTGGTAATGACTAACATAGCTATTGAAAATGGCCCATTTATAGTGGATTTTCCCAATAAATATGGTGATTTTCCATAGTTATGTTAGTTTACCAGAGGGTAAATAGAGTTTTTTTCATGGAGAATCAATGAACATCATCGAACCAACGATCGGGATTTTCCAGCCATTTTTGATGACACCGCAGGATAATTTTATCGGGATTTTTGCAGGACATCATAGGAAAACCCATTGGAAACCCATGGCTTTTGGTGGCCAAACCCCTGGGTTCTGGAGGGTACTTTGGGGTGCAGTTCTAGAAAACGCCCAACTTATGGGTTTTTTGCGGGGTTATATCATATCCCAACTTTTGCTTAGAATGTCCAATGGTTATATCATGTTATATCCCAACCTTATGGTTATATAAGTTATATCATGTTATATCCCATCTTTTTTCAGGTTATATCATCTATATATATATATTATATATATCATATCACAACTTATGGTTGGAATTTACCCTATTTTCCCCCCCCCCCCCAGCTGTCGCGTCTCACCGATCCCGCGCAGGTGGCCCGTTTGATTCGACTGCAAGAGCACTGGTCCTTGCGCCTCAAAGAGGTGACCCGTGGGACCCGTGGGATGGCGCATTTCGTGGTGTTTTTGGATAGTGAATTACCCTCTGGTAGACTAACATAACTATGGAAAATCACCATTTTTAATGGGAAAATCCCAGTATATCCTATTACCCTCTGGTAATGACTAACATAGCTATTGAAAATGGTGATAGAAATAGTGGATTTACCCAGCTATAAAATGGTGGATCTTTCCATAGTTATGTAAACGTTTACCAGAGGGTAATAGGAGATACTGGGATTTCATATGGTGAATTGGTGAATTTTCATGGCGCTGAAAAATGGTGATTGAATGGTGAAATCATGGTGAATTAATGGGATTTACTGGGTTTTCATGGTGAATTAATTGATTTATATTTATAGTTCCCTTTCAAGTGCATGAGGGGATTACAATTGCATTTCAGATTTTAAAACTCAACATCCGGCTTGCCAACATCTGCTTTGCAGATTTCTGAAGCCACAAAACCTGCCGCGGCATGACTTCTCAAGAATTGTTGACGAAGTCTAAGAGTGAGTGTAAAATATACCCTCTGGAACCCTCTGGTAAACTAACATAGCTATTGAAAATGGCCATTTATAGTGGATTTACCCATGAAAAATGGTGATTTTCCATAGCTATGTTAGTTTACCAGAGCGTAATTTGGTTCCAGTTTATTCTTATTTTAGACTTATTTCCACGACTACAGTGTTATTTGATGATTGTTACCCGCGAAATATCGCCGGTCGATTGGAGATTTTGCCAGCACTGGAGAGCGACAACGGGAAGACGACAACTTCTGAAAATCTGTGGATTAGCTGACGGTGGTTGTCTGGTTTCTCAGGGGAATAGTATTGCAAATCCCGGTATTGATAGTATTGCATGCTGTGCAGCCAGCATTACCTGGGACTGGAATGATTTGCTAGACCGGGAAGAGTGATGTAATACAGTAACTGCTGCTCACAATGATCTTAAGAAATCGTGCGGCATTTGTTTGGATCAGTATTACAGATTAATCAGATTATCGCCAGACTATCACCAGATTATCCAATTCATTTGATCTGCAAATGTTTGGTTTATCCGAGGAGACTACACCAGTAAAAACCATTGGATTGATATAATTGTAAGCTATTTTTGTCACCACTCAAGAATTGTCACTGTTGTGTAAGCATGCACAACAAAAAACATGGTATGCTTCCTGTGTTGCAGCTAATGCATGCTAATGCATTATACACATCCATAAGATTCCAGAAGCATCCAATATTTCCAACATGTTCTTGTCAGCCAAACCATTTTTTCTTTTCACCTGCGGGTTCTCAAAACGGTGTCGAACTCCGCAGGGCGTGTTGAAAGTGAACGACATGGAGATTGTCTTTTCTGCTGGTTCTGTGCAATTGGACTTCCCTGAGGTCAGGGGAAATCTGCAAGTGGTGAGAGATCTATGGGGTTTAGGGGTGACTTGCTGCCTAGAATTGCTACATCTATGGTAATAAGCCCCATAGGTTGGGATATAACTCCTCTTTCCACGGTTATAATCTTATATGTATATACAATATACATATATATATATATATTTATATATGTATATATATATGTATATATATATATATATATTTATACATATATATACATATATATATGTATATATTATATATATATATGTATATATTATATATATATATATATTATATATATATATATATCAGCTTAGAAACTGGGACGGCAACCTGCAAATTATATGACTGTTTTTCTCCGGCCAAGAATGGCCAGTGTATCAAACCGGAGAAGCAATGATAAACCATGGGATTGGATGGTGCAATGTAGTGCTCTCAAGATAGGTAGGTCGGTTTGTGTTCACCCATCCCACTATTTTATTATAATATGTTAGATAGTCACCATAAACACCCGACTAGCCAACTCAGCTAGGTAACCCAGCGTTGTTATAGTTGTAATAGCCATCATCACCATATAGTGACAATGTTGCTTTGTTTTTCATAATATATATATAATCACCATAATCAGCTATAGCGTTATCATAATCACCAATAAGTTGTAAGCACCATAAGTTGTATTATCATGTATTATCATTATATAATATAGTTGCTATATTTTGTATTGTATTATCACTATTATCACTATTATCACTATTATCACTATTATCACTATTATCACTATTATCACTATTATCACTATTATCACTATCAGCTATTATCACTATCAGCTATAGTTATTTTAATCACTAGTATAGTGAGTTTTCCCATTAAAAAATGGTGATTTTCTATAGTTATGTTAGTTTACCAGAGGGTAACCACTATTATAATCACATGTTGAAATAGCGAAACCACATCTTCCCCTTAGCCAACCGCAGAATATTTTGGGGCAACACCTTGGCACAGGATGTGAAACAGCGCGAGCCACCTGTGACGTTCAGATTTCAACATATTTCAACCACTTAAAGCTTGGATGGAAATTGGAATGTGTCCATCTTTTGATACAGATGGTATGATTATATATATCTATAATTGTATATATATATATGTATATATTATATATAATTATATATTTATTATGTGTATATATATATACACAATAATATTACATACATATATACATATATGCATACATAGCATTTACCATTATATATATATACGCTAATTATAGATACAGTAACCAGCCAACACCAAATGCAGGCTATCAACGATTGGCCTGCCAAAATAGCTTGGGACAGGCTTGGGTATATGTCAGAAAGCAATAGCTGATTAAAAACAAAAAAGGACAACAACAACAACAGCAACAACACCACAACAACACATTGAATGGGCAGTGTTCAATCCCTCTTTGCTGGATGATTGGTTCGGGGGGTTTTACTATCCAATACATTGGGGATTGTCATTATCCATGAACTGGGAACCCTATGAACCAACCAGGATTAAATGGAAAGACATTCGAGTTTTAACCACCATAATCTATCACTTATACCACCAAGGTGTCCCTTGTTAAATCTTACACATGTACTGGTGGTTAAATCCCTATGGAATTTCTCATCAACCATGATCTATCCCTCATATCTTTGATAGTTAAAGCATCTTAAAACCCGATGTTTTTTTTAAAAAATACATATTCAAAAAACTCGATGAAAAACAGTGGTGACTTTCAACGGCGGATGGTTCCCCAGTTCGTCCGCGAGGCACCTGTAGCCCATGTCGCAGTTGAAGGAGGTGCAGTGAATGACGTCAGCCGGGGCTCGGGAGCTGTGGGCATGGAGCTCAGGGTGTTCTGGAATAATGGGCTATGATACATACCAGGTAATGATAGACAATGGGTCTCTATATATATATACATGTACATATAGACATATATACATATATATATACATAATATATATATACATAATATATATATATATATATACATAATCACAGCCCCCGCCTTGTTGGCCAATTGAGATGCTTGACAGTTTATGTATTTGCATAGATGAGATGCTTTCACTGTCTTCTTATTTTTGGGTTTAGCAAATGTAGATGATGCTTAAACAGTCACATGGGGATTCAACATGTGGCAAGCAATCATACAATGTGATGCCCCCGTTCGATAGCTAAGTTGGTTTATAACTCCAATAACTATGGTTTATGGTACTTATAACGAACTAGTTACTGGGGCTTTTGTTAACCAACAAACATCACTGGGGGGCCTCACATTGTAGATATGTTGATGGGCTTCTGACGATCCCCACTTCCGCCTTGAATGGACCCATATATATGCACCCAGAGATATGACTAAGTTGCTTGCTGATTTTTCCCAGGCTTGGTTGAAGGCCAAATTCCAAGGAAAACCTGGAAGCAAACACCATGGTTTTCCTACACAATTTTCCCTAGATCAACTCATTGATTTCCAAGTTTGTTGATATTGGTTGACTATACCAGTCAACCACTGCTACTTTGGCGATTGAAATCCCATATGATTTTTCAGTCATGAAAAGAATTGTCGCCATGAGGTATCCCCAAACTCCAAGCAACCAGCTCCTTAACTCCTGAACATTGATTTTGTGGACGCATTGTCGCCATTGCTATTACCCGCCATACGTTTTGATTTTGTTGGACGAACATGTTTTACCACACATCCGACAATTGAACTGCAAACACTAGCTGCGACAAAATCAAAAACACCACCCTCCGGGAATCAAAACTTTTGTGGCAATTGAAAGTCCACCATTTACCCTCTGGTAATTTAACATAACTATGGAAATCACCATTTATAGTGAGTTTTCCATGAAAAATGATGATTTTCCATAGTTTTTTGTATGTAGTTCCATGTTCCTCCCATGAAAACCTCCATTTCGCCTCCGGGATTTCCCCACCTTTGACCGGAGACCGGAGTCTGTCCAGGTGCGGGACTGTCCTTGGTGCCGAGCAAAAGTCCGCGGGGACTTGGAAGGTGACCATTTTCCCATGGAAAATCACGACATTTTGAGGTCACGGGCCATGGCTTCCGCTATGTTAAGAATTGCTGGAGTGCAATTGAAATAAATCATACCCTCTGGCTATTTAACATAGCTATGGTATAGATGATCCATTTAGTTTGATGGTTTACCTATTAGAAATGGTGATTTTCATGTTGAATAACCAGATGGTAAATAAATAGGATATATTTCACATGGGATTTCATATAGATGCTTCATGATTGGGGGAAAAATGGCTTTGTCAATATGGTATCCCCGTCCATCCACAGCTTTTGAACATTGGAAAATTTCGAGATGTACCCGATGTTCAGACAACCCCCAACTGGAATAAGGGACAAATGGATCTACATGGCCAATGGGATTTTTTTGTTTTTTTCAATCATTTTCGCTTTTTTTTTTTGCGGATTCTTCATGACAATTCCGGTGTATTTTGGGTGATTCAACCAACCTATTGGGAATATAAATGTGAGGCCCCCAAGATAGCTAAGTTGGCTTATAACTCCAATAACTATGGTTTATGGTACTTATAACTATAGTTACTGGGGCTTATAAATTAAACTTATAACTGGGGGGTCTCACATTGTATATATCATCGGATGTAGATTCGATATAACTTGTTGGTGTGTCCGATAGTGGATGATTTACCAACCGCTTAAATTTCATGGGACAAATGGTGATCGACTGATCAACCCATGGGGATTTTTTCACGGATTTTCGGGGTATCCTATGTTCAAACAAGCCCAGATTTGCGAACCGCTAGGTCATAAGTGACTGTACTAGGTTTGAATCAGGTTTGGCCAAAGATGGGGAAAGATGTGTCCTTTTCTTAATAGGGTATTTCTGATCAGTCGGGGATTTGGTGGGGATGAGCCACGGCAAAAAAAGCTCTGCAACTGGAAATCCCTGATTTTCGGAGAATCGTCTATGCTCGGTGCTGGAATATTTACCATAAACCCCACCCAAAAAAGACCCAGTTTTGTAGGTAAATATTCCAGCACCATGGTTCGCATCTGGGTATATCTAGAAAGTGGAGATGTTCCAGCCATGGAGCTAACCGGATTTTTGGCAGTGCTGAGTCAGAAATATCATCAAAGCCAAGATGATGAGCATCGTACCAAGATATTCTATAAATTTCTATAATAATTATTCATGTTCCATATGTTTGTCATATCTTACTTTTTAGGTGGAAAGAGTCCTAGGGTGATTTCCGGTTTTGGCTCCAGGGTGGCACAGTCCAACACAAATCATAGGTCGGTGGAAGGGTCATCGTTTTTCGCCGAGAACCACCGTAACGATGGCGCGTCGAGGAGCCGGTTGTGAAAACACGGCTGGAGATCTGGTTGGCATTGCATCTGTTTTTCAGATTCCATGTAATTAGATAATTGACTATTATTGATGCAGATACTATATATATATAATATAAAAATATATTTATGTATAGCACAGCCCACACAGATACGCAAGTAATAAGCCTACAGATGATCCTATAGCAGATTCGAAATCCTCGTGGCTTTCATCCCACGGATCCTAAGTTGGTTAGTTCACCGTGATTTCAATGGCGGCTTGGTGCACTGATGGCTCCACGAAAAACATGAATTATTGTTCTTTTTCTTTTGCAAAATTGCTTAAGAGGTATGCAATTGGATCAATTGGTGATTTAAGTTCAAATTGTCTCAGTAGAAATTGTTGAATATTTATATATATATATATATATGTATACATATATATATATGTAATGATTCACAAGTTGTGCCATTTGGCTGCTGCCTCCAGTTGAGTTTTGGATGTTTGGGATTTTCCCATGGTGTGTTTCTTATTCAAGATGCATCACGCAATTAGAACAAGTACTCAAAGTTTCATATCGCCACTTTGACCCATTATGACACCTGTTACCTCATTACTTAATCATGTTTTTAGTTGTTCTTCCTGCGGCTTCCGAATTGATAACTCGCCCCAACAAAAATGAGACCGTTGTCATTTTTGGTTTGCAGACCCAGACCTGTAGGACGAAGCGGAGTCTTGAGCTTGTGCCTGGGTGCCGCGGCGTTGGTGCTGTGCTGGCAGATGGTGTCGCCTGCCTTCATTCAGCCCAAGCAGAACCGTGGCTTGGAAGCGGCCGCCCCTGCTGCGCTGGGTGCATTGGCTTCCATGGCAGGAACCATGCCAGCTGAGGCCTTGAAGGGTCCCCTTGCTGGCACCGACTTGTGCACCAAGCCTTTGATCTACTTCATCTACCCGCTGTGCGACCCTCTCTTCTTGGTGTGCCCCCTCTACAACTTCCCCTTGGTCTTGGGCTTCTTCGCGGCACTGGTCACGGTCATCAACCTGATCCTGCCTGAGACGCAGCCAGATGAGGATCTCCGTGTGGGATAGACGTTGCCAACTGACAGGCCTTTAGGTTTTCCAATCTCCAATGACCGCAGCAGCGAGGGAGAAACATGCCCTTTTTTGTTGCTCGTAGCAGGTGGAAGCAGCCACTTATGTACCGGACAAGCCGCTTTGGGGTGTTTAGGGGGCTCACTAGCAAGGAGTAACCATTTGCCAATTGGGATGCTTGTCCAAGTAGCTGTGAACAAGTAGTCATTTATTTTGAGATAATTCTTTGTCACCATGGAAAGTCAAGAAACGCTATGTGCTTGGAGTTATGATTTAGGGGAAACACGTGGCAAGATGAGCGTCCAAGGATCGTTTGTGTTGTTCAATTGTGGAATTCGAAGCTGTTCAGCAGGTGTTTTCCACATAGCAAGAATAGCTATACTATATATATATGTATGTATAGCCATGTTGTTTAAAATAGATGGGATATCTCAAAGGAGTTCGATGGTTTGCAGATTGCTTGCATCTAAAATCTCACCCCTCTTAGACACAATTCCTGCAGGATCCCAGCTTTCAGGGAGGGTTTGGGCCTGGACTTTGACTCATGGCACATCAGCGGGAACCGGGAACCATGGCTTCATCCCACGAATCGAAGTAGGTTAATTTCAATGCGCTAAGTAGGGTTTATATAGTTCACTTATAACTGGGGTGAACTAACCCACTTGCTAACTGGGATGAACCACCAAGTAATTTTAGTAATCTCTTGCATCTCTTGGTTGTTCAAGTGAGGAACTGTCCCTATCTCAGGTAGCTGTGAGGGTGGATGTTCATGGTCAGAGTTTCTGATCTGATTGGACAGAGCTGGCTCAGGGTTTTTTCTTGCAAAGTGTTTGTGCCTTTTTTCCAAACCGCACAACCATGGCTCGCAATGGACGACGCAGTGTGCTGAGCGTGTGCCTGGGTGCCGCGGCGTTGGTGCTGTGCTGGCAGATGGTGTCGCCTGCCTTCATTCAGCCCAAGCAGAACCGCGGCTTGGAAGCGGCTGCCCCTGCTGCGCTGGGTGCATTGGCTTCCATGGCAGGAACCATGCCAGCTGAGGCCTTGAAGGGTCCCCTTGCTGGCACCGACTTGTGCACCAAGCCTTTGATCTACTTCATCTACCCGCTGTGCGACCCTCTCTTCTTGGTGTGCCCCCTCTACAACTTCCCCTTGGTCTTGGGCTTCTTCGCGGCACTGGTCACGGTCATCAACCTGATCCTGCCTGAGACGCAGCCAGATGAGGATCTCCGCGTGGGATAAGCGTTAGCTCTGAGTCTAGCGAATAACACACTGGCGATGAACATGTTGAGTTAGCTGAGCGGGGATGGAGGTTTGTCAGTTGGTACCTTATCTTTTAGAAGTTATTTGGTTGGTGGTTTGGAACATTATATATATATATATATATTGGGAATGTCATCATCCCAACTGACTTCATATTTTTCAGAGGGGTAGGTACACCACCAACCAGTTATGTTTACCATTGTTCAACCACATATGTGGCATTGACCATTGATGATTTGCTATGTAGGTATTCACCCATCAGAGGAAAACCTTTGAGGATTTCACCTGGACAACGAACACCTTGGAGGGCTGGCAGCCCATCTATGGTAAGTTGCGCCGGCTCGTGTTTTTTTTGGCTATGGTGAATGCACCGTTTCTTTTCCACTGAGTCAACCTTGTTTAACTACATTACTTTACTTTACTTTAATCTCTTGCTATCAACGGTAAAATTCGTCCTAACCAGCTAGAAAAAATATATTTATTGGCAGGTATCCAGGATTCACCGTGATAAAAGGGAGGTGAAAATACCCGAATTTAAATCAATCCAATTCATGATGATGGGACGACCATACCCTAGATAACGATGCTTTGACCATGGCACATGTCATTCCTTCTAACATCAAGTTGAGTTTCAGGTACAGATTTATTGAAGGTATCTACTAGTACTGATCATATATGTATGTATTTGTATGTATAATATATATATATATAATATATATAATATATATATATAATATATATTATATATATTATATATATATGTGGCCTATGATTCAGGGCTATGTAAAGGGATTCATCATGATATATCACCAATTTCTATGGCCAATTCCTATGGTACTGCTTGGTACGGTACCTGAATATTTGGGGGTCCGGGAATTCCCATTGATAAAGGCGATGATTTGTCTGTGCCAGGCATGACAGAGTAATGGCAAACTTTTTTTTGGGCACCATCAAATATATGCACCTTGATCCATTATGTAGTGGTCACAAACAAGGAAGCAACGTTACTTCCATCAATCTTCAATATTTTGGGGAAACTCTATAAATCATCCTAAGTTCTTCACATTCAGGCTGCCCCTTGGATCTTCTGAGGGCCGCAGTGTGATTCATATAGATCTGGGCCCTCAAAATGGCTTTTTCTTGGCCTTCAAAGCATCAAAAAACGAGCAAAACTAGACTATAAGCAGGTCAATGTAAAATACAATGCATTGTTCTGGGTGTCTGGGTACAAAGTGCCTGACCATTCCAAGAAAAGCACACAAAACATGGTAGCGATGTGACTTTAGCCTCCTGCCGCACATTGCTCAAAGTTTTTTCCACACGTAGACGACAGCTTAGATTCAAGTCTCCTGTCTGGATAAGAATGGCTCGCCATGGACGACGCAGCGTGCTGAGCGTGTGCCTGGGTGCCGCGGCGTTGGTGCTGTGCTGGCAGATGGTGTCGCCTGCCTTCATTCAGCCCAAGCAGAACCGCGGCTTGGAAGCGGCTGCCCCTGCTGCGCTGGGTGCATTGGCTTCCATGGCAGGAACCATGCCAGCTGAGGCCTTGAAGGGCCCCCTTGCTGGCACCGACTTGTGCACCAAGCCTTTGATCTACTTCATCTACCCGCTGTGCGACCCTCTCTTCTTGGTGTGCCCCCTCTACAACTTCCCCTTGGTCTTGGGCTTCTTCGCGGCACTGGTCACGGTCATCAACCTGATCCTGCCTGAGACGCAGCCAGATGAGGATCTCCGTGTGGGATAGATTAGGTCAGTTTTACACTAAAGACTTGTAACTTAGTTCTTCAAAGTCACACAATCCCGAACGCATCGTCAATCAGCCTGACAAAAATGGTGCTCATAGGATTTCAGCACACTGCGTCTCAAAATTGGTCACCTTGAAAATCAGCCTGTCTGAAAATTTGATCAACACCAAAAAACATTTGTGGTATTCGTCGACATAAAAAAAACAACAAGATCGTCTATGTCATCGCTAATTCACGGCCTTGTCAAGATCAAAAAAGGGTGCTCAGTTGCCCAGGTGATTTAATAGATCGGTTGTTCTAGGGGGCTTTTGGCCTCGTTCTTTCGGTTGCATAGTCCTAGGTCTACCTTTGTTGCGCCATACGAACCATCGGACATTGATCAGCCAGTTTTTTGATGCAAACTTCGAGCTTGCCCGGAAAATCCCAATGACTCATTTTACTCAGGGTTTGTGGAAAGTGTGGATCAGATCATCACTACGTACATCTACGTACTATGGTCGGCAAAATGAGTCATTCGACTTTTTAGGAATTCCTCTCGGGGGAGGTTGGGTCCTGAAATGTCGAGTGGATTTCTTACATCTTGGCAGTGTAGACATGGGTGTTCCTGTCAGCAATGGATCTCAAAGGATGCACAAGTCTTTCCAACGGGATCAAATGGATCCAAATGGGATAAGACTTGGATATCAGATCTCATATCTTTTCATATCTGTTCATTAATTCTCCATCAATTACCCATAAACATTGCAATCATTGCAGTTTTGGGGTATTGTATTATATTCACCATTTTCAGACACACCCACCAGATTTGACCCATGGTTGCTGAAGATTGGTGGTTTGGGATCGACCATCTGTGGGAAATAAAAGCAAACGTCAATGCAGCAGCAAGCGTCAAGTTCTTGATCTTCGACCTTGGTTCCTGCTGTGATTTTTGCATGTTGCCTTTTGGCTTAGCTTTTTGATAGCCTTCGGGGTCTTCTGTTTGTCGGGTGTCCAGTCCGAAGAAAAAATGGCTCGCCATGGACGACGCAGCGTGCTGAGCGTGTGCCTGGGTGCCGCAGCGTTGGTGCTGTGCTGGCAGATGGTGTCGCCTGCCTTCATTCAGCCCAAGCAGAACCGCGGCTTGGAAGCGGCTGCCCCTGCTGCGCTGGGTGCATTGGCTTCCATGGCAGGAACCATGCCAGCTGAGGCCTTGAAGGGTCCCCTTGCTGGCACCGACTTGTGCACCAAGCCTTTGATCTACTTCATCTACCCGCTGTGCGACCCTCTGTTCTTGGTGTGCCCCCTCTACAACTTCCCCTTGGTCTTGGGCTTCTTCGCGGCACTGGTCACGGTCATCAACCTGATCCTGCCTGAGACGCAGCCAGATGAGGATCTCCGTGTGGGATAGACAGCTGGTCATGGTAGGTCGTGTTAGGCCGTGCCGACACAGCGGCACATTCTCCGAATCGTCCCATGGCGATGGCAAAAGACATTCAATTAGGACATCTGATCCTGATCATTTCTTTAGAGATGCAGGATATAAAATGGCAATAGAGGTAAAGCATGCAGTTATGGCCCTTGACCAGTTAAAAGTCAGTTATAAGTTATAAGTTCAGTTATGGAATGATAACACTAAAAGCATAACCACATTTAAATTCAAAACCATTTACCACCATCCACACGTGGTCAAGGGCCATAACTGTGGTAAAGCATGGTAGCAAGGCTGGGTGACTTCTTCGTTGACCTTGTTATCCATGATGATTGGAGATGGTGTTAAGCATCTGAAATCTGCAACTTAAAACTTGCCCTCCAGTACAAAAACATGAGGTAAACCCATGGATTACCAATGATTTCCATAGCTATGGCTATGTTATATCTGGAGGGCCCAAGAAATGGCACAACCTCTGGCCCCCCAAATGAAAATCTTTCGATGAACCGGAATCTGTTGGAGCTTTCAGCAACACGGGTATGCTGAGGGACAAAGTTGTACATCGCGTGTAGTTATATATAGTTATATAACTGTGTAAATTATAACGACCTCACTGTTCTCCCTCTGCGAAATCATGTTTAGTAAGGGACATCATCCCCTTGTGGAGCCTGAATTCAGGTTAGTGAAATATTTTTATTGACCCAGATACATAATAAATATAGGTGTCTTGAGATAGGGGATCCCCAAGTCACCATGGGTGTCAATACTGAAATGGTCTAATTTTGGATGATTGGGGGGTTACCACCATTTTAGGAAATGTCTATTTACAAATGTATAGTATTGTATAGTATGTGTATATATATATATATGTATGTGTGATTATATATGAAACAATCAACACTATGGATTTACTGGGATTTCACGGATATATAATGATATATATATATATAGCCAATCTTAACTATATGGGTGTGCGATGTTCATCGGGAAAATGATGATGAACCAATATAATCCAGTGAATTTAACCAATATTTATAGGTGCTCTATGTTCAGACTATATCAAAATGAATCACCATTGCCAATCTTAGATACTCTGCAAACAAAAATCTTAGCTGGCTAGTAGATATTCCTATAGCAAATGGATTAAACTTCCCAAGGTTGACCCAAATGTCATGGTCATGATGGTAGAACCTGCTGGGTGGTTTGGAACATTTGGATTATTTTTCCATATTTGTCCCATCATATTGGGAATGTCATCATCCCAACTGAACTGACTAACTCATTTTTTTCAGAGGGGTAGGGCTCAACCACCAACCAGATTATTATTAACCTTATTAACCATATAATAATCATATATTAACCATTATTAACAGTATATTAACCACAATGGTAGGTATACCACCAACCAGGAACTATTGTGATGGTTGATGATTTCGATTTCTGATTCCATCCTTACCTGGCAAGCGGTTGCATTCGCTGCGGCAGTGCGGCTGACAGCTTGAAATCTGACATGAAGAACCAGCTCGGCGAAAAACAATACCATGAAAAACCAGATGGAAAGTATACCAGAACATACAAGAACTACATGCCATGACCTAAATCGTTCAATGAACGACCTGTCCTTCGCTGTTTCGATTTGTGACTTCCCAATACTGTGCCCTCTCCTCTGGGGCGGAACTGCGGATTGTCGCCATGCTCAGCTGCTGTGTGGGAACGGGTGATGCAGAGGCCCCGGAGTTGTTGGTTGGGAACACCTGAGAAACTCACTCGGATGGTGCCTGAAGTTTGCCATTTATGTACAAACATATATAATCATATATATATACATATATATATATATATATATACACCTGTGACAGGTAATCAGTAATGATTCTTGTATTTTATTGTCACTATTGATATTATTATTGGGAGGGCTAATTATTTATTTTTGCTTTTTTTTTTTCTGCGGCAGGTTTTGGATAATTTGGGGGTTCCTGGTTCTATGCTTTCCTGTTTCTCAATTTTTCTGCTTTTCTGCTTCTCTGCTCACATTGCTTCTCTGCCTTCTCTTCTTTTCCTGCTTCTCTGCTTTTCTGCTTTTTGCTTTCCCTGCTTTCCCTGCTTCTCTGCTTTTCCTGCTTCTCTGCTTTTCTGCTTTTGTACTTCTGTGCCTTTCTACTTCTACTATTCTACATTTTCGTTTCTTCAGTCATGTGTTTTTGCTGCTATACTTCCTGCTCCTTTGCTTCTTTGCTTCCTGTCTTTACTGTCTCTTTGTTTTTCATTTTCTTTTGCTTTATTCTGTTCTGTTTGTATCCTAAATGAAACCCTAGAGAGACCCTAGGTGAACCCAAAAAAACTCTAAAGAAATCCTGATAAGAAACCCTACATGAAGACCTAAATGAACCCTAAAGAAACCATAAATGAACCCTAAATAAACCATAAAATAATCCTAAAGAAACCATAAATGAAACCCCAAAACTTTAGATGACACCGTAAATGACATCCCAAAGAAACCCTAAACAACACTCTGAAAAAAAAACTAAACAAAACCTTACCTGACACCGTCGCTGAAACCCTAAATTGACACCCTAAATTGACACCCTAAAGAAACCCTAAATGAAACCCTAATGGAACCCACTTGAACGTTTCGGAATCGTGAAAAGAAATCCTGATAAGAAACCCTGGAATGAAACCCTAAAGAAAGTCTAAATGAACTCCTGAATAAAACCTTAAATTGAAACCCTAAATTGAAACCCTAAAGAAACCTTAAATGAAACCCTAAAGAAGCTCTAAATGAAACCCTGATTGAAACCCTAAATGAAACCCTAATTGAAACCCTAAACGAAACCTAAAGAAACCCTAAATGACACCCTAAATGAAACCCAAAAGGAAATCTAAAGGAACCCTTTTGAATGTTTAGAAATCGTGAAAAGAAATCCTGATAAGAAACCCGGGAATGAAAGCCTAAAGAAAGCTTAAATGAACTCCTGAATGAAACCTTAAATTGAAACCCTAAGTTAAATGAAACCCTTAATGAAACCCTAAATGAAACCCTAAAGAAGCCCTAAATGAAACCCTAAATGAAACCCTAAATGAAACCTTAAATGAAACCCCACATGAAAGCCTAAAGAACCCTCAAGAGACCTACATGAACGTTTGAAGCAACAAACTGTAGCAAATACCATGCAAATGAGAGGTTGAAATGCCACAAATACCATGCAAAATGGAAGGCGAACATGGCCAATGTAATAAATACCATGCAAAATGCAAAGTGACCATGCCAAAATGTAGCAAATACCATGCAAAATGACAGGTTCTAGTTCCAAACTGTTGCAAATACAAGGCAAATGGTACCGAGAAAGAAAGCCAAAAAAAAAATAAAACTTTACTTAGTGATACCCACCATGACATTTATCGTTTTAATATTGGCAGCCGGCATATCTTCCACCACAAGCATTGCTTCTGCCAAGTGTGGCGACATATTTCCGTGCAAGCCATATCAAAGTCTCTGTCTAAGTCTATTCGGAAATGCTCTGATGGTCACATATTTGTTTTGAGTATTATGTTCAAGAGTGGCAGCGAAATAGGGCCAAAGAAGCGGTAGCAATACTGGCACAACCACTGTGATGCAACTGCTGTCATGCAAGTGCTGCAAGCTGTTGCTTACCAATACAAACTGCTAAGATACACATGATGCAATGCTGCTCAAACTCATCCGTTCCACCAGACAACTTGCTTTGACTTGATCTTGCTTGACCCAGGACCCAGCAAAGCAAGCCATCAACTCAAATTCTACACACATGATTGTGTATTCTATCTGGCTTCTCATCTGCTGTTCTTTGTCCATATGTTCTAACCGATTTGACTGGCAAACTTCTTTCGAACGTTCTATCCTGCATATCTTCTGGCACACTTTCTGCCAATCTATGTGGCATATCTTCTGGCATTCAATCTGGTATTCTCTCTCGCATATCTTCTAACATTCTATCTGGCATTCTATCTTGCATATCTTCTGGCATATTATCTGGCAAATCTTCTGGGATTCTATCTGGCATATCTTGTGGCATTCTATCTGACATTTTATCTGGCATTCTATCTGGCATATCTTCTGGCATTCTATCTGACATTCCATCTGGCATATCTTCTGGCATTCTATCTGGCCGTTGAGGTCCAGCGGTGCACACTGAGCTGGGCAGGTCCCAGGTTGAGGTCCAGCGGTGCACACTGAGCTGGGCAGGTCCCAGGTTGAGGTCCAGCGGTGCACACTGAGCTGGGAAGGTCCCCGGTTGAGGTCTAGCGGTGCACACAGGGCTGGGCAGGTCCCCGGTTGAGGTCCAGCGGTGCACACTGAGCTGGGCAGCTCGCAGGTTGAGGTCCAGCGGTGCACACTGAGCTGGGCAGCTCGCAGGTTGAGGTCCAGCAGTGCGCACTGAGCTGGGAAGTTGGCGAAGAGCTTGGCGACGAGTTGGAAAGGTTGGCAAGGCGGAAGTGGAGGTGGAAGAGGCGGAGGCGAGGAGGTGGGCGAGGAGGACAGCTAGTCGAGGAGGAGGAGGAGGAAGAGGCGGCGGGCATGCGCTCTGATAAAATCTAACAACCCTCACCTGGCAGGTAGGGAACAAAACCTGAGGCAAAAAAACAAAAATGATTCTACACCGTTATTATTGCTATCATACTATATCTACATTATGATACATGATACGGTTTAGAATCATATATATATATATATGTATATACATGCATGGATTAATTCTTCCCAGCTTTGATTGATTGTACCGGTTAGCGTGCCTATAGTGTACATAAACATTATCCAATGACCCAGTTCCTACCCGATATCCATGTTGAACAATCACATGGAAGCATACACAGCATGAGGTAGGATGCTAAAAATATCATTGTTCGCCAGCTGCTTAAACTCCCAGAAGGGGTAGCAGGATGATTGATCCAAACTGTATATTGCTTCAAGCTGTATGTTTCAGTGTTTCAGGCTTAGGAAATCTGGCAAATAAAGTATAGTAGGTCATGTCAGGATTAGTGTGTGGTCAATGTGCTTGGCATAAAGGGATTTGCGTGGAGTTTCATTTCCACTTAGCATGTCCAAATAATGTCCAAGGGTCTTCCTGATAGATCTAGT